ACTTAATTTTTTCTTTTTAATATTGGAGAATGCAGAGATTTCATCTTACTATTAATAATATTAGCAATCATTACTGTTCAAGCTTTAGAATTATTTCCAGTTCTCCAGCTTCCAACACGGTAGTAAACTCCAAGACAATCTACAGTAAAATGCAACTAGGAACTACACTGGTGTTTAAGAAAAAAGGAGTACTTCTACGGTACTTATGTAGTTTTGCTGTGACCCATATTGTGGATGACTTGTGACATTTCTCACTTGTCTTAATTAAAATTAAAAGCAGAATATTATTCTGAAGCCTTCTTTATTTTTTTTTTTTTTTTTTTTTTTGGATATACCTACTCACTTCACACTTCTCGTAATCGTGTTTCAGGATTCTGGACTTAGGTCTTCTGTTTTGCTTGTGATGGGGAAATTAAAAGGTCCTGTGCTATCCATACTGTTATTAGACTACAGTTTTAAGAATAAGAGAAGCCTGTAGAATTGGTCAATGTGCAATTGTTTGCTTGGTATGCAAGCAGTTGTGAGCCTTTTCTCTCTCCTATTTTGTCAAACAAATTCAGGCAAGAAAAAAAAGTCTTTTAATCATGATGTCAGGCAACTCAGGCAATTTGAAGTTTACCAGCAGTAAGTCTGACTCTGCAGGACTGTGAACAGGGAATATCTCTTTCACACTGTCAAACAGATACACCACTACGCGTGGCTTCAGGCTTTTTTCCCCAGGCAGAGTACCGTAGTTCCATATTTTATGAGGAGTAGGAGGGAATACCTCAACAAAATTGAAAGATCACTGAGGTTTACTGGAAAATTACATATGAATGAAAATGATTTGACTGATATATTTTGTATTTAGAACTAGCTACATATTTATTAGATTAAAAATGTAATGCATATTAAAGACCTTCCTCCACTCTAAAAAATGACAATGGAATATTATTGTCATGCATCAGACCCAGTTTTAAATTTCTGTGGAGAAGATGTAAAATTTAGGGGAAGAAAAACCATAACATGCTTTTTGTGTTAGCAATGAAGTTCTGCTGCTCAAGTAACAGGTTTCTCCATTGCCTGAGAATGACAAGGTAAGGCTACTTTATGGACAAGGCCTCCTACATATGCTACATATCCCTGTGGTAATCAGGTACGACTTGATGTTCTTCCTTATTTGCTGGGGTTTTACAGTCATAGTGCAAAGCAGCAGACTGCATTTACACTGACTCACATGCTATGTATTCAAGAGTCCTGGCTAGGAGCACAGTGAATGTGTAGATCAGCTGTACTTGCCAAATGCAGTAAATCATATATTTCAGGAAAGCATCACAGGAGCCCAGCACAGACAAGCCTAGGAAGCACTGACATAGCAGATATGTGCAAGCTAGCTTTGCAGTGCATGTGCAGGAAGTCTGATATGTCAGACAAACACAGAGGATGAGCACTGGATAACACCAGGAAGAATGGATTGACGATGTGAGAGCTAGAGGCTGTCACTCAGCACTGGTCTGCTGCTCCTCTTCCGAGGTGACACTGTACTGACAGGAGTCTGTGTGAACCCTTATCTGTAAAAATCAAACTACTTGAGAATCAAAAAATCTTAAAGTAGATCAGATTCATTTACCCACTGAAAAATGGTTAAGTACAGATTTAAATTAAACTAAACATAAATGATTGTCAACTATCAAAAAGGCAAATGAAATACAAAAATTCAGCAGAAATAAAGGGATGCACTTTCACACAGAATTATCTTTACTATCGATTTATACCTTCCTCCTGCATTCTCCCAAACTTCACTTGCCCAATGATCTTTCACTTTAGATAAGGGGATCACATCCTCCACTATTATTTGAAATTCATTTTGTCAGTTGCTAAGTAAGTAAGGGTTCACATATAGCACTTTGTCATTATAATAAGAATCTGAAAATAAGATACATGAGTTCTTTCACCTTAACGTAATGATCTCTTTGTACAACCAATGGCAACTGTTTAGAGGTTCTTTGCATCATTATCTCATTAATTTGATCAAAATCCCATTACAAGCATTGTCCTAGTATTATTCCAGCACACTTCCATCCAAAATTCATTTGCTGTATTACCTCTATCTCTTCAAATTATATTTGATATTGCAAGTAACTTAGATCTTACACTTGCTGCCATGTACTGACATGAGTTAAGACAGCTAATCAAAAAGATGTTTGCTGCTGAAGTTTTGAAGGTGATGCCACTGAATTGGCTGAAGTCACTGGATAAGCAGATGGAGAAGGATGTAACTGATGCAGGAAAGCAATTTTTGAAAGCTGCAGTTTATTCCGCAGGCGGGCTGAGTATCTTTGTTTCAATCCATTCAGGGCGTTCTGTTAAGAACTATTTAACTCAAAGCTGAAAAATCAACGCAAGAGTAGAAAAAGTAAGATTGCCTATTTTTTTTCTGTCAATCTACAACAATCCCAAATATGAGAGGATAAGATCTGCTTTCACTAGGACTGTGAAGGTGATGGCTACCAGACATTTCCCATTGAATTCCCATTCATTTGTCATTATTTCAGCTGTTTCAAGAACTATTTTAAAACGCAAACATGCTTTTGAAATGCATCAAGCACACTTAAGGTAGTCTTAATTAATGGACAATTTGAAACTATGCCACATCAATTTTATCTGAGTGTCAGTTTTCAGGCAAGCAGAACTTGACAGAAATAATAAATAAGCAACTAAAATAGTAAAGTATTCACTATAAAATATTCACTATTTTGTAACAATAGAGGCTAAGAAATTAATATTCTGAATAAAAGGTTTAAAAGCTAAAATGGAATAATATAATGTGTATGAATACAACGCAGTCTCTTAGCTGAAGAAGAATCAAAATAGCCAGACTTGTTAATAACAATCAGCTGCAAATTTATGTATATGTGTTCACCAAAAAAAGGAAGATCAGTTACTCTTAGGCAACTAAGATTTTTAAAAGCAAAATATTTTAATTACTAACGCCATTTTTTTCACTTGTTCTTTTAAATAATAATTAAAATGAAGGTTTTACTTCAAGCCATCTCTACCGTATCTGGAACATTTTATCAACAATGTCAATATTAAAGACAAAAATAAAAAAAGAGCATTACTTAGCAAGCACATTTCTTTCTTTCTCTCTCTCTTTCTCTCTCTCTTTCTTTCTTTCTTTTTCTGAAGAAATTTATTACTCGTATTTCTCATGGGGATCTTACCCAGCCTCTAGATTTCCAAAAATGGGTGCCTATAATTACTTTTCTAAGCTTGTATTCATGCATCTGAATAAGTGCATTTATTGTGAATACGTTCTGCAGCTTCTAATAGGCCCTAACCATTAGGCTGATCAAAAAATTTTCAAGCACATTTATATTGTTGTAAAAACGCTGACATGCAAAAATGTAAAATTTCAAGATAAATATGTTTTGCCACTAACAGAAATAGTGAGGGAGGGTTCTCAGGTCCATTTATTTGCTTTCTGATACAGCCTGGCCTCCTCTCCACCCACAGATAATGGCTCAGTGGGTAGCGGAGGTACTCGCCCCCTGTGAGAGCCTTGTGCTCCAGTTTGGCCTCTGCTTTGGAAATAGTTTCACTATTGAGCTGGTCTTTTTTTTTTTTTTCTTCTTCTTTCAGAAAAAAACCCTCAAACGCTGTCTGTTTCATTCTTACACAAAACAACTGCCCAATCCCAGTTCTCTTTTAAGGAATGGATGTTTTCCAGCACACCATTTTTTCAGGGACTGTTCTATTAGTGATAAAGTCACCGTGTGTGCTAAAAGCAGACATAGCTCACTAATTGTTGCTGGCCATCCAGCACGCTTCCTCCCCTGCTAGGTGAGACAGGAGCAGGCGTGCAGGAATTAAATTTATTCTTGGAGGGATTTTAAAATATTTCATTTCAGAATCACTTGACGACTGTGCAGCAAAGCCCTTTACATGTAATTTGCCTCTCCTCGATGTATGCGTTTAACTCTCCTACTCTCTACTCATAATATCATAGGAGTGCAATATTATATATTTATGATTTGATGATCATGGCCTGATTTTAAAGCTCACACAAGCCGTGCATGCTCGGTGCCTCCGGGAGCCGCACCGGGCGCAGGCAGGAAGAGGGCCTTCCCCTCACACCCCCAAGTTCCCGCTGCCCCACCAACACCTCCCAACCCCCCGCTCTCGGCCGCGGCGGGGAGCGGCTTCCCCGACCCCGAGGCGGGGGGCGGTAGGGAAACCCCGGCCGCCGTGAGGAGGAGGGCAGCGGGCCAGGGCCGGCAGCCGCGGACCCCCGCTGCCGCCCGCTCTCCGCCTCACGGCCGGCGCGGCGCGGCCTGGCTGCAGGCGGACCCCCCGATCAACTTCCCCCCGCGCAACGAAGGGACGCGGGGGCAGCCCGCACGGAGCTCCCGCCTAACCCCCCCGCTCCCCAGGGGCTGCAACAGCTCTGCCTCGGGGCGGGCGGGCTCCGGCGTGCCCCTCGGGCGGAGGGCGTAGAGGCGCGGGGGCGGGCCGGGGGCCATGGAGTACCGCGGGCCCCGTGCCCAGCCGGGCAGCTCCGACCACGGGCCGGGCCGCGGCCGCTCGGCGCTCCGGCGGCGCGGGGCTCCCCGGGCGGGTGGGGAGGAGGGGAGGGCCGGCGGTGGGGGATTCCTGGCCCCCCAAAGGAGGTGGGGGAGGCGGGGGAGGGGAGGCGAGGGGGAGGGGAGGCTGGGCTCCCGGAGAACGAGACGGGCACTCGCGCAAAATCCTGCGGCTTCAGAGCAGCCCTGGCGGGCAGGGTAAGTGCTCTGGGGAGCGCCCCTGCCCCGAGGGGTGGGAGCGGGGAGGGATCCCGGCGGCCGCCCCGGGCGGGGTCTGCCCGCGGCTGGGGCGGGGGCACCGCGAAGGGCCCCACTCCCCGCTGCGGGGTCGGTTGGAGGCGGCGGGGTTCTAGCCTCGGCGCTGCCTTCCCCGGCTGGGGACCGCGGAGAAGGGGGGATGGGTGTGCGTGCGCGGCCGTGCCAGGATCTGGATCCCCCCGCCTGCCCACCCCCGAGCGCGTCAGGGCTTCGCCTCTCCCAGCCGAGCCTCCCTGCGGCTTCTCCGCGCTCCTTAAAAAATAGATACGTATGCCCCGAAGCCGGAGAGAGTGAGGCGGTCCGGCAGGGGGAAGGGCTTTCCGAGGAGCAGGGGCTGCCGAGAGGTGGAGGGAAGCGCCCCGCGGCTCCCCGCGCCCTGCCTCCATGCCGCTCTGCCGCCGCTCGCCTTCCGCCGGGCCGGAGGAAGGGCTGCGCGAAGGTAAATCCGGGCTGTCAGCCGCCGAGCGGAGCGCTGCCCGCCCGGCCTCCGCCTCTCTCCGGCCGCGGGGCTGAGGGGGGAAGCGGCCGCGCTCCCGCCGGGAAGTTACTTTGTTAGCGAGTTCCCGCGGAGGCTGCGAGCCGCGGGTCGGAGGGAGGGCGGCTCCGTCGGCCACGGGCAGGTGCGAGGGCACGGACCGCCCAGAGGGAGCCCTGGAGCAGCGGGTGCGGCAGCTCGGCCCGGGGAAGGGGCGGTGGGAGCGGGAGAACTTTGCGGGGTGGTAGGAAAGGATCTGGTGACCTCCAAAGTTTTGTTCCGGGAGGAGAGCGTTCAGTAAGTTGCTCAGAATTCGTGCTGATCTTCGTGTCGTGCATCTGGCTGCTGCTTGGTACCCGGCACGCTCCGAGCAGCGGAGCGAGGAAGAAAATAGAAGATTGAAGAGAGTTAGGTAAAGGGTTCGTTGATTTTGGTGTATTTCACTGTTTTCTTTATGTCTGCGTTTCTGCGGTTTGCACGTTGAACCAGCAGCATGAAATACATTTTTAAATACATATATTTGTGCGTGGCCAACATAGGAGATAAGAATGAGAAACGTGCAGAGAGGGGGCAGGTTTCAGTTCTCTTTGGCAAATGATCAGTAGTTGAAGGTTTCTGCGTACACCACACATATCTTGATAATACCTTAATTGAAAGATCTGCTGATAACGTCCAGTATTGATAACCACTTCAACTTCAGTTAATGCCTAATGAATTTAGAAAGTAATTTAGGCTACAGAGCAAAGGAGCTTTAGTTATTCTGGATAACTGGGCAAGATTATTAAACTTTATGATAAGCTCCTGGTGAAGTGAGCTCAGTTTCTCAAGAGAGTATCAGTAGGTATTTAAAATGCAGGACTGCATAGAAAGTGTGTATGGCTGGGATTTGGCTTCCAAAATGAGTGCATCTTTTGAGAAGACTGTTCAGTAGTCATTACAGGGCTGTAACGTGTGCTGGACCTGCGCGTGTTAAACTGTGCCGTGATGTAAATTTGCTGGCAGTGTAGGTATGTATTTTTTTATTTTGCATATGATTTTTTAAATTATTATTAAATACGATGGCTATCCTGTGTATGTTACGTAAATGAACTGATTGATTGTAATCATTAGCCACAGAATTTAAATGGTGTGTTTAAACAATTACAGCTTTGCTTTTCTCGTTTCCTTGGTTGTCTCAGGCTATTTGAGACAGAAGAATTTTAAAATTTCTTGCTTGTACACCAGTCTGCCTCTTCTCTGTGCTTTCCTTCAGTCTAATTTAAAGCATTGTAACTGCTGTGAATACCTGTACAGATTCACATGAAGAAAAGCACCTGTGTTAAAGATAAACAATTGTTCCTGTTAGACTAGAGCAAACCCTTCGTGCCCTGCATGAAAACTTGTTAAAGTGTTATTGTAGGATGCTGTAGTATTAGTTTGTGATACCAAACAACAAACAAAACCAGAGAATGCACAGATAAAGCTGGTGCTCTGATCTTTGTTTAAACAGGTCATGGTTTTTCTTTAATGCTGTGTGCTCATTACAGGAACTGTCAGCAGGAATGTAAAGCGGACCAGAGTTCTGATTTGGAATACATTGCCTATTCTGACATTGATGTTTCTGCTTCTTGGGTTAATGATTATTGTGCCGTTTGTGATCATATTTACCTAACAGAATTCATTGTAAAGAATTAGAAAAAAAGTGCATATTATGTCCTCTTAGGAAAGGAATGTGATTGGATTTGCTGCCTCAGATGCAGTCCCTCTCACCTGAAGACTTACACAGGAATGGGCTTTTCTCTACTGTAGTAGAGCATGCAGTGTTATATGGAGAGGTTTCTGTTTTTTATGTCAGCTAGAGTTTTGCCACTGAATTATGAGGAACCTCAAATTCCCTAGAACCAGCTGACCACTTAATTGATGCAGATACTATCTGCGAGAAGAAACAATCAGTGAATAAAAACGTGTATTTAAATTTGAGGATTTCGGTATTTTTGTACATGAAATCAGTTTTCATCTCAAATGATTAATACACATAGTGGTAATTCCCTGCAGTTCATCTGATTCCTGTTAAACTGTATTTCAAAGAATTGCAAGCAGCCAGATTCAGGGAGGATATGTAAAATAATCTGAGGGAAGAGTCTTTCCGCATGGTACTGTTACATTAAGATGTATTAGGCTGTTACAATGTACAGTTTGAGGTCTCCTGAGAAGACCAAGGGTAGTGGTGGAAACTGTCATTTGCATATACAGCAGGTTGGGTTTTGTGAACGTTGTCCATGGGTGAGTTGGGTCTGTGCTGCAGTGTATAAAAGTGATATGGTCTCTAATCATTTCTAACTTAAATACACGTTCCTGTTTCAATCCTGAATCTTCCAGGTTTGTTTTGAAATATAAAACAAGGCTATTAATGTAAGGGAGTCCTTTAAGGACACTGGACTGTTACTGTGTGACTTCCTCTTAGAAGGTCATCCTTAGAGGCTAATATTATTATAACTAAAATACATGTGAATGCAATGCTTGGGTAAGGTTACAGAATGACAGTCCAGTGTAAGATACATTGCAAAAAGGAGCAGAGCTCTTAGTGTAATGACTATTCACCAGCTTCTGCAGTGACCATCTCCGGAGGGTGAAGCAGTTCATTCTCTTGTGACTGCTCACTGCTTGACCTCATTGTTGAAACTGTCAACAAGTGTGACAGTTTTGCTGTGATTTGATGTGGCAGTGGGAATTATATTAGGATAAACAAATAACTATCATGCTGTATATGTAGTAACTTGCAGTTGTAGCTGATTTGGTCTTCGTTATGCTAACCTAAATACAGAATGTTTCACTATTTAAAATACCAGTATTTACCATGGGAGTAAAATTGGGTTCATAATGTCATTTAATTGGTCATCTTATTTAGATTTTCTTTTTTAAGAGTTGTAATACATACAGTACATTTCAGTTGCAAGTATTTGCCACCTACTGATTATGTCTTTTTAGTTTATACATTTCTGCTAATAAGATTACTGTATTAAACATATATGACTTTTTTTGCAAGCTGTTTTGATGCAGCATGCTCTCCTGACTTTTCAAGTTCGGTTATGTACCATGCATGTATTCCAGCTTCTCTTACAGCAGGTGAGGGTCTTGCCATTCAGCCAAAGACTGGAGCCAGCAGAGCAGCTGTAGAAGCAGCGTACGAAGGAGACCAATGGTTACTGATTTATATGACTGTTTTTTCTTTGCCTTATCTTAATTGGTCGCTTTGCTCAAGATCCCTCTTTGCCAGCTCTCAGTCGCTTTACTTTGTGTTCTCTCTGGCTCAAGCATCCTACATAGCACTTAATTTTCTTTTTTCCTCTTCTCACCGGCTTTATCATACCTTTTTTCTTTTTCTTTTTCTTTTTTTTTTTTTAATTTGTGATACTAATCCTGCTTATTTTTTCATTGTCTTCATAAATAAATGGAAGGAATGTAATGTTCTGTCGTTGCGTTGATCATTTTTTTCTACATTGCTGTATCATTTTTTTCCCACATCCTTTGTTGAGTTTTGGTAGACTGTAGTCTCTTTGGGGCAGAAGCTTTTTGCTGCTGTTTGATTGTACAGTACTAACGTAGTTTCTCCTTGGATTTCAATTGGTTTGTGGACACTCGTGTAGCAGTAAATAATAATACTGGAACTATGTCTTGTTTGTGTGACAGCCTTCCTTCTGGTTTTGCGGTAAACCAAAAATATGTTGCTCAAAGCTTATCTTCACAGTATCACTCTTCTGAGATATATCTCAGTTTTTCCCTCAGCACATGTACTGAATCCCTAGTGTGAGTTGGTTTTGGTAAAAGTTCAAGATACCTTGCCTGCTGGAGCGGGAGGAGGATGGATTAAGACCCAGCTACTGCCAGTAGTTAACCAAATAGTAAAACCTGAATACTTAGTAGAAGATCTGACAACAGCAAAATACGTTCGGGCTTTACCAGATTGATCAAATAAAAGGTAGAAAGAAAAAGAAAATCCAGGAATGTATAGTAGTTTAATTTCACTGCTTTGATGTTTTCCTCCTAAATATTTTTTTTCATTTTGATCTCCCTTTACTTTTCACCACTGGCTTTGTTTTAGCATCTTTTAGGTCAAATGAGGATTTGTAGTCCGTCCAAATAAAATTGTCAAAAGAGTTTTTTAAACAGCCAGCAAATGAGGTGATGCAGTGTGTGTATGGCTCAGAGCCACAGTTCAGCAGCAGCTGGTCCAGCACTTTGCAGTGCAAAAGCTACCACCTGAGTTACCTCAATTGGAGTGAAGTGCTGTGGATGTGCTGTCTTGCTGTAGGTTTTCTCCTGATTTTTGTTTCTCTCACAAATAGCCTCTTCAGTTTTAGGGAGAGCATTGATTTGCAGCATCCTGTTGTGGAAGAAGGCACTGTAGGACTGGGTCTTCCTGATCTCCAACACTCCGCCTCAGAGCTGTGTACCTGGGGCTTCTGTGTTATCTATCCTCTTTCCTTAAAGGAAGAGATTTAGTTATCTTTGTCTCAGTTTCCCATGGAGCTTGGAGGGGGGGCTCTATGTGGGTGTGACCTCGTGTACAAGGAGTGAATGGTCCAACTTCTGTGTTATTTTTTTTCTATCAGTCCTGGGGAGGGTACTTGGAAAAACAAACAGGGCAAACCCACTGACTCCCTTCCTGGACGGTCAGACAATCATCAGATAATAATCAGATGTCATGAAGGATTTCAACTGAATAAATAAAGCTGAAAGATTGAAACGTATAAACAATTAAAATAATAGGACAATGTACTTAATTTTCAAAGTTTTGTGTCCAAATATACATATATATATATATAATATATAAAGCTGTTAAAAAGATTTCTTGATTCCTTTTAATAAGATTATCCTTAAGGTAGTATCACTGAAGGTATATTTACATGTGAGCTGTTGTATATTCTGATTTACACATGTTTGCACGCTTGTACTTTGGCATTTCATTCATCTTCAGCTACAGG